GATCCGCCATGGCCGCCCGAGGCCCCTGATCCGCCATGGCCTCCCGAGGTCCCTGATCCGCCATGGCCTCCCGAGGCCCCTGATCCGCCATGGCCGCCCGAGGCCCCTGATCCGCCATCGCCGCCCGAGACCCCTGATCCGCCATGTCCACCCGAGGCCCCTGCTCCGCCATGGCGACCCGAACTGCCGGCTCTGCCATGGCGACCTGAACTGCCTGCTCCGCCATGGCTCCTGGAGCTCCCTGATCCACCCTGGAGGCTCTCCTTGTCTCCATCCTGTTCCAGTCCTGCACCAGCCTCCAGGGTGCCCGCCCCCCCGGTGGTACTGTTACGGCGCGGGATGTGCCTTCCGGGAGGGGGGAGTAATGTTAGGGTTATGTTTAGTTTTGTTCTGTTTTCATTGTGTGTTCCCCTGTTCTGTTCCCCTGTGACCTAGTTTTACTTTGGCCCCTAATTGTCATTTCGTTCACCTGTGTTTCATTAGGTTCTTTCGTTTGCTCCCCTACAAATACTCTGTTTTCCCTTAGTCAGAGTCCGTTCTCATTTATGTAATGTTGGTGTACTTGCCTGTCTCCTGGATTTGTTTATTAAAATACCTTTTGTTTATTTCCTACGTCCTCGTGTGTGTGTGTCCCTCACCAACCCGTAACTATTATATAGGTTTAAATTATTTTGTGTAATAATGAACTAATAGGACGCCAATCAAATCACAATTTCATAAAAACAGAACTGTCTACAACTGTGATCATGGTAACTGTGACTTGATTGGTGGATCTCTCTACAGGATTATGGGTAGTGTAGTCAATAGGGACATTCATGTAGGGCATTCAGTCAATAAACATGGTTTTTAAAAAGTTGAAATCACACTGACTGTCTTCTGCAGAAGAAAATCTAGTCATCTAACGAACTCCGAGGTCATGGTAGATCTGCCTTTAGGTTTAAACAGAATTTATAAAAATCAACGGAGAGCATAAATTATATTTTTACATTATGCATGTTATATCTTATTGTAAATAATTCATCCATGTTTGTTTGTTTGTTTATTATTATTATTGACCTTTTGTAATGTTTAATCAAAAGCGAAATGTGAAAATGTCAGCCTTATCTCTGGTGATGTATGCAGGATTTCTCCAATTATTTATTCTTAAATAGTCTAATATTGAGATCATAAGAGATTAGACATCACATGTTGCTGTTAGTCAAAGGGCTATGATCTGAAAACAATCAAACTCTGCTCCTTCACTCACCTTGGCAATTCTTGGCTATGAGGGCATCTCCAAAGTATTCGTCAGCGCACCTTTCACAGTCCGGGCCTCCATATCCCTCACGACAGAGCAGACAGGCTCCAGTCACCGGATCACAGCTGAGCTCTGCTGTAAGATCCAGGTTACCGTTACACATACACGGCTGGCAGGAACCCCCAGGAACGTTGGGACGACCGAAATAGCCATTAGCACACCTGAGGTCATCCAGAGTAGAGAGGATGCATGCTTTAGAGATGCATACACTTCAAAACATGATACACATAATAAAACGATTTACACTCAAATCAACATTTCATATGCATTTGTTTCATTACTTTGTTTTACAATGCACAGTCAGCCAGCTTGGGTCACTGTGTGTGGGTTTGTTTTGTGATACTGACCAACTGACTGAACATTTATACCTTATGTACAGTTATGTATATTTAACATCTAGCTTGAAGGTGGTGCAGTGATGTAGCTGTTAATTTGTCATTTGTAATTGCAGTTTGAATCAGATGAGTGGTGGCTTTAGCAGTTGCGATAGTGCATGTACTGTAGAAGCTAAAGCTGAGCTTAACAGATAGTTTGTCAAGAATAGCTGGGGTAAAGTGGGATAAATGGAAACACTTAAGGAAAGCATTTAAGTATATTGCATTTCCTGACGAGTCATTTACCGTTTCTCTTTTAAAGGAGCTGTGTACAACTGAACTGACTCCATTACAGTACGTCTGATGAACAACCTTATTTTGATCATGAAAAGAACATCCGAGACTTTTCTCGCCAAAACAAAGCACAGACGATGAGAATGTGAGAGAAATATAAGGGGAAGAGACGCTATCACTTCCTCCGCTCGCTTCGCCCACCCGCTCTTCTTATCTGCTCTCGGTGCGTTTGGATCCTATATCTCTACTGAAGCAACTTGTGTTGCTGGCTGATAAACACGCACAGTCTATCCACTGCCTTCATGTTAAATGGATTCCTCTGCGCTTATCTGCACACGACTGTGCTATCTGCATGATGGTGGAAAGAGAAAGTAATCACCGTGTTTCACTCACGCTCAGCGGATTCCACAAGCCAGCCTAGACTTATTAATTGAATATGGTATTGCTTGTCTTTACAGGCCCAGAGGCATGCTAGTGCAGAATCTAGTTTTAACTGTGCATGTTGGAGATTTCAACTTTTAAACAAAGTCTTAGATCTCACAATAACTTTAAAAGACATAATATCCCTTCAGCAGTACAAATGCTCTGGGCTCATGTCTTATTTAAGAAATCTTGGTACATATATAGTAATATCTGCATTTATAAGTGTGATTTTTACCAAACCGCCTGTCCTGGTACTTGACACTTGGTATCTGGCACTGCTATTTAAAACGATAAGTGACCTTCATGTAACTTCGTGCTTTGGTAGGAAATTGTCTTCTAAGGACATGACTGTAAATGCAATTTGGAAAATGTGAATCACTCAGAAAATATTTTTTTACATTAAAACATTCAGAACGGGGCTGGTGTCAAATTTTTTATATATTCAGAAAACAAATCAGATAATGGAATGAAAATTAGCCACTCCATTCATTCATATGTTGTAGTGTAAAATATAACAAACTATAAAGGAACTGATATGTTGTCACTTTCATATCTGAGAATACGAGAAAGAAAATGGTTGTCAGATTGATGTTTATCATCGGAATTTGGATGTATTTCTCTGTACTATAGCTCATAATATTCTTTGGAAAGTAGTGGAATCATGTTTAAATTTTACTTGTCAGATTATTTCCTACGGATATGTGTAAATGTGGAGCTCTCTCAGACTAAAGCCACAGTCACACTAGACTTTATGTATGCAACATTTTTCTGACTCTGCAACAGTCATGATCTGACATGATCAACTTAAATCTAACACATAACAAATAAAAATAAATCCAAAATAAAAACATACAATCTACTCCACTTTCTTGCATTGCTGCAGTTTTACATTTATGTTCTTTTAATTCAGCTACGAGGTCATGCCGTAACGTATCGACCTTGTATTGGTCACACGGTTTCACTTGTTACAAATTCGCAGGTCTGAGTTCACCACACTTGAACTTTGGAACACAGTGGAATGCGAAACAACTTTACAGAAGCTTGGACGTCTGCTCTCCCGCATTCGCATGTGCATGAATGGAAGTCAATGGAACGAAAAGTGTAGTGTGACCGATCTTTAACTGATACATATGGAGCGCCACAAGGCTCTGTCTTAGGTCCGATTTAGTAGCATTTCCATGTACATCCTACTAGGCCAAATTACAATGAAACATCTGATTATGCAGTTTTTTTATTTTCACTATTTTCATACTTTATTATCATTTTTAAAAAATATGCATTTAGTGTAATAAGAGAGTAAAGACTGGTATCTATTAAATTACAAATTAGAAGTCAATGAGCATAAACATGGGTTAGTAAATGAATACAGAATCTCTTTAAGTGTCTGTGTAAATGGAAAAGTCCCCACCTACTGTTTCAAAAGTACATAACCCCCAATATACTGTCAGACAGACTGTCACCTCTGCTGCTTTGGTACCCTTTAAAGGGTAACTGAGCATCGAAGGCTGGCTCTTCCTCTTTCTCTGGTGCCAGCTCATAATTTCTCCTGTCGTTAGCTCTGCTGTGAGAGTGCCATCTTAAGCACTGATGACTCGGGCCAGGTGTCTTTAACCCAGGCCATATATATGGTCAACTTCCTGTGTGTCTGCACACAAGGGAACAATTACTAAAAAAAACCTGGGACTGTTCCAAACTCTTATTTCTGTTCTCTCTTTACCCCATTCACCTCAGCCTGCTCTCTCTGACTCACTCGCAGTTTCAGGTGTCACTGGCCATGCAGGGCCAAACTAAACATAAGTACTCTATTTCAGAGCAGAACCAGGCGCCTTACAGGGACTGAGCTGAATTAGGTCAGTGAAAGACTGAGTGGGGTGGAGAGAGGTGGGTATTGGGTTTTTATGTTTTGGGTCAGTGATTCTTAAACCGAAAGTATCACTAAACCCATTACTGTTACTGATTGCCTACTACACTCTCAGAGCTTATGGCATGCTTCACAACAAACACATACACAGTGTGTGAATGAAGCAGAGGGGTAGGATGATGAATATAAGACCTGTTTCAGGGAGCACAACTGCAGTGTAACAGCAACAGCAGGCTCACACTGTGGTTTCACTCTGATTACATATGCATGGACAACAGAAATGGACACTTTTATCCACATATACATGCAGTTCCATTAGCAAGCAGCTTCCTCTCTCTCTCTCTGTGTGTTTACCTGATATTTCAGAATGGCACTTTCTTGCCATTATTCTGGTGCATGTAATGTAAAGCTGGTCACTGACAAGGTTTCTGCTGTTTATGTTACTAAATCTCTATAAAGAATAAGTGATTTCTGGTTTAATATATTGAGCAGTCCTACAGACCAGTGGTTCCCACCCATATTCCTGGAGCCCCCAACACTGCACATTCTGTGTGTCTCCTTAATCAAACACACCTGATTCAACTGTAGAGTTGAATCAGTAGAGACTCCAAGACCTAAAAGGGGTGTGTCAGACAAAGGAGACATGCAAACTATGCAGTGTCGGGAGCTAATCTACCAAATAATCACATTTATACATTTACAAATAGTAAAAAATCTATAGATCCAAAGCACAACTACACTAAACTGCGTATAACCCCCCAAGAGTAGCTTAGACTATATATGAACTACAAATATAAATCAAATAATCTGGATTCAGTTTGGATAGCTGTTACTACATATGGAATTTAGTTCACCAATTTATCATTCGTGTCAGTCATCATTGAAATCGACACTAAAGTCTCTGAAGTTGTGTCTTAAGAAAAGTGAGATATTTCAATATTGAAGGAATCAGCAATTGTGGCACTTGTTGCTCATCTTTATTCTGTGTACTCTAATAAAACAAGCTTTACCGTTTTTGGTAGCACTCCAGTGGGTTCAGTTTGGCTCTACAGATACTGGATAGAGTTCATCTGATTTGCTCAGATGAAAATTGGGATCTGGTGTTGAAAATGATGTATGATGTCTTGTATTCTGCAATGATTTCTGTTTAAAGAGAGCCAGTTATGTGCCACTGTTGACTGCTGGCCAAGGATGCAACCACATATTTAGGATTTGTTGGTACTAAATGTAATAATTTAAGATTCAAAACACTGAAAATCACACATTGACTAACTGCTAATCTGAATACTAGAACTGACATATCCTTTTCGGTGTCTATGGTGGTTATGGCCCTGTTGGAAAATGCTGATTTTTAAAGTTTCTTTGAAATGTTTCTCTATAGAAGACTCAACTAAAAAAGGCACAGATGAGATAACAGTTGGCATACAAGTATAAAGCTATATAACGAATGTGGATTCATTGACATTTCCCAAAAGCAGAGGTGGATTTACCCAATAGGCAAAGGTAGGCGACCACCTTGGGCCCTCAAAAGCCAAGCCCCAAAATGCAGTAAACGGTAAAAAGCATCACAACAAAAAAAGGAACCTCAAGGCTGATCTAGGTAAGTGTGTGCAAATGCATAGTGCAAATGTAAATGTTCAGGTTCTGGAAGATTTAACGAGAAATATTTGAGTTCATATTCAGATCTCTGCCTTCTCATTGACCTCCTTTGAAAGCCTGTGTGCGATTACTGTAGTCTTTTTCTCACAAGAAGCAAACGTCTCTATTTGCGCTCCATTTAATGTGGCTTTCCTGTTGGACGGCCTCGACACAATGCATTTTTAAGAACACGTTTTAGGAGCGACGTGTGCCGCCTGATTGAGTTTGTGTGAAGTATGTCCTTCACATCTCTTTCAGTGGGTCTCTCAGGGTACAGACTGGGTTCGAGCCCCGTCTGAGCGGTGATGGATTGTTGTGTGCATCTGTCCCTGGCTTTTCCCAGAACGAGAAACCTTTCCATTCACTCTCTCTCTCCTCTCTAACTTTTCTCCACTTGTCCTCCATAACACACCATCAGCTCCCTCATTCCCGTTCCCTCCACTTCGTGTCTGCTAATGGCTCAGCGTGGAGAGCTTTGGTGCCAGCTAGTGTGTACCAGCACTGGCACTGCACCAGTCTCTCTCCATCTGTTTCAGGTGTGGGGTCACAGCAGAGCCGAGAACTTTCTTCCACCTAGACGCCGTATTCCATGACAACACTGTAATTTAGTCTGCGTACAGAGCTGGCGCGACTGCCAACGCAACCTCCCCAGAATGCAGCATATGCTAATGCTAACACATCAGCATACAAACCTTCAGAGAACGAGAGAGATCGTTACCAGTGTGGAACATGAAGGGGTGAGAAAGAAAGAGAAATAAACAGAGCGACTGATGGAAATATTCTGTATGATAGATGAGCTCAGTGATTTCTGATGCTAATGAAATTAAGAAAAAATCATGAGATCCACAGCGAGGGAGCTGCTTTGCGCTATATTGCATTTGTGGCCACTTTACACTCACCACAGAGGATCAAGCCATTTGCTCAGTCTTATCCCTGAATTGTATTTCATGTCACACTGGGACAGAGATCCCTATGGCCTAGAGATTAAAATTTGTTTGACTAGTCTACTCAAACAAACACATTACAAACCCAAACTTATGTTGTTGCTCGGCATTTTACACACACACACATATATATATATATATATATATATATATATATATATA